GGAGAAGTACTCCTCTGTAATATGTAAATCGTGTGACTCTCTCTCGCCCGTGGACGTAGCTAACACACATCGTGTTAGTGAACCACGTAAATTGTGTGTCGTGTTTTCGATTCTCGCTTTCGTATTCTTGCTTTGTCGATTCCAGCAATTTCCCGATCCGTAGCAGCGCGTTTATAACAAGTGGTATCAGAGATGCGGCTGGAAATCAGGCTAGGGTTTTCGATTCAGAAGAATGACGTCGGTGAACATGAAGATCAAAAAGTTCACGGGGAAGAACAGCTTCGCTATATGGCAGATCAAGATGCATGCTTTATTAAAACAGCAAGGGCTGTGGGGGCCGCTGTCTGCGAAACAGAATAAGGCAGCGGTCGATGACGATGAGTGGAATAACCTGGAGGAGAAGGCCCACTCGACCATCATGCTATCGTTGTCTGATGACGTCATCATTGAAGTCGTTGCTGAGAAGACTGCCGCGGGCTTGTGGTTGAAACTGGAGAGTCTGTATATGACGAAGTCTCTAACCAACAAGCTGCATCTCAAGCAATGGTTGTTCAGCTTGAGGATGCAAGAAGGTACGCCTTTTAGGGAACATCTCGAACAGCTTAACTCTATTTTGCTGGATCTGCGTAATATAGATGTTCAAGTTAATGACGAGGATGCTTCCCTAATCCTGCTGGTTTCTTTGCCGAGTTCATATGAGAATTTCGTTGATACTTTTATTGCCGGTAAAGAAAGCGTGTCGTTCGAGGATGTCAGGTCTGCTCTTCATACGAGAGAGATCAGACATAAGGCGTCCGGATCTGGTACATGTGGTGAGGCATCGGGTTTGGCTGTTACAGGTGGAAAGGGAAAGAAGAAATCTGGTAAAGGGAATTCGAGCAAGAATTCCAAGGTTCCCGGTCCACAGCCAGGTGATGCTTGTCACAACTGTAAGGAAGTGGGGCATTGGAAGTACAACTGTCCCAAGAGAAGAGGGCAACAGAAGAAACAAGGTTTAGTTGTCGTGGCAGAAGTGGACAACAGTTCTGAAGACGATCTCGCCTTGGCTGTAGATGAGAAGGCACATCGTGGGGATGTGTGGTTTCTGGATACTGCAGCCTCATACCATATGTCTCCGAACAGGGATTGCTTCACAACCTACGAGCAAATAGATGGTGGTAACGTGGTCATGGAAAATGGAGTTGTCTGCAAGGTTATTGGAATCGGGTCCATAAAGGTTCGGACACATGATGGTTCGTTCTATACCGTGAATGATGTCAGGCATGTTCCACGAATGACAAAAAACCTGATATCCTTGAGTCTACTCGACAGCAAGGGTTTCAGCTTCAAAGGAAAAGGTGGAGTTGTGTATGTCTGCAAAGGTTCAAAGAAGGTGTTGAAGGGCGTGAAGCGTGGGACCTTGTATGCATTACAAGGGTCTGTGTTGTCTGGTTCTGCAGTTGCATCGTCTCAGGTTCATCAGGAAGATATGACCACTCTCTGGCACATGAGACTGGGGCATATGAGTGAACGGGGGATGCAAGTTTTATCGAAGAGGGATCTTCTTTGCGGGCACAAGGTGCAGAATTTGGAATTCTGTGAGCATTGTGTGTTTGGGAAGCTACATCGCAGCAAGTTTCCCAAGAAGGGTATCCACCGGACGAAGGGGATACTGGATTACCTCCACTCCGACTGTTGGAGTCCTTCACGAGTTGAATCCATTGGAGGAAGCAGGTATTTTCTGTCTATTATTGATGATTATTCGAGATTTACTTGGATTTTCATGATGAAGCAGAAAAGTGAGGCTTTCACGAAGTTCAAGCAGTGGAAGACATTGGTGGAAAATCAGACCGGGAAGAAGATCAAGAAGCTGCGAACTCTGCAAGGATGAAGGGATTGCCCGTCATCGGACCGTGAGAGATACACCCCAGTAGAATGGCGTTGCAGAAAGGATGAACTAGACATTGTTGGAGAGAGCACGATGCATGCTCTCTAATGCTGGACTAGAGAGAAGATTCTGGGCAGAAGCAGTAAACATGGCGTGCTTCCTGATCAACCGTGGACCTCACAAGGGTATCGAGTTGAAGACTCCTTATGAGGTGTGGTATGGTAAGCCTGCTGATTACTCTTCACTGAAAGTTTTTGGGTGTCCTGTTTATTATCATGTGGATGAGGGTAAACTGAACCCAAGGGCAAAGAAGGGTGTATTTGTGGGTTACGGAGATGGAGTTAAGGGATTTCGAGTCTGGTCACCTTCTGAGCATCGAGTTATACTCAGTAGAAATGTGATATTTGATGAGAAGTCTATGTTTAACCCCATGTTGAAGGTTACTGTTGTTGAAGGTAGCAGGAATGTTGATAAGCAGGTGGAGCTGCAAACTCTCAATGAGAGTGAGTTTGAGCACCAAGGTGGAGAAGATCAACATGATGAGGATGTCTCTGCAGAGCCAGAAAGTTCAGAGTCCAGTGCAGGAGCTCAACAGTCTATGGCTTCCGGTAGACCGAAGAGAGCGACTGCAGGAGTACCTCCACAGAGGTATGGCTTCGAGGACATGGTGGCGTATTCATTTCAGGTTGCTGAAGAAGTGGATGCAGGAGAGCCACATTCCTATAGAGAAGCAGTTTCGGGTGGTGAAGCTGATCAGTGGCTTGCCGCAATGGGAGACGAGATGGAATCCCATGACAGGTTTCAGACTTGGGAGCTAGTCAAACGACCACAGGGAAGGAAGATTGTTACAAACAAGTGGATTTACAAGAAGAAGGAAGGAATCACTTCTAAAGAGGGCATGAAATTTAAAGCTCGGGTGGTTGCACGAGACTTCTCGCAGAGGGAAGGAGTTGACTACAATGAGATTTTCTCACCAGTGGTCAGACATACTTCGATCAGAGTGCTACTAGCAATAGTGGCACATTATGACTTGGAGCTCGAGCAGCTAGACGTGAAGACAGCTTTCCTGCATGGAGAGTGGGAAGAAGAAATTTACATGACTCAGCCAGAAGGATTCAAGGTTCCGGGAAAAGAAGACTATGTTTGTAAGTTGAAGAAGTCCTGGTATGGACTTAAGCAATCGGATCCGAGGCAGTGGTACAAGAGATTTGACAGTTACATGCTTGAGTTGGGCTACAGCAGAAGTCCATATGATTGTTGTGTATATCACAGCAACGCAGAGGATGGTTCGATGATATATCTAGTTCTGTATGTGGATGATATGCTCATAGCTGCAAGGTCAAAGTCTGATATCCAGAAGTTAAAGGGGCTTCTCAGTGCTGAGTTTGAGATGAAGGATTTGGGAGCTGCTCAGAAGATCTTGGGTATGGAGATTTACAGGGACAGGTCGAAGAAGAAGTTTTTCTTGTCACAGAAGAGCTACATCCAGAAGATACTGTCGAGGTTTGGCATGTATTCAGCAAAGCCCTTAAATACTCCTAGTGCTTCAATTGTTCATCTATCCTCAGCTTATGCACCGCAGTCAGAGGCTGAGAAGGAGTACATGTCGAGAGTCCCATATGCTAGTGCAGTAGGTAGCTTGATGTACGCTATGGTATGCACTAGACCTGATCTTGCACATGCTGTTAGTGTTGCCAGCAGGTTCATGATACAACCTGGAAAGGAGCATTGGCAGGCTGTGAAGAGGATCTTCTGGTACCTTAAGGGTACACCTGATTTGGGGATTAGCTTCGGAAGTGATACAGAGTGCTTGGTGTCTGGGTATTCTGACTCGGACTATGCTGGAGATGTTGACACAAGGAGATCGATGACCGGTTATGTATTCACTCTTGGAAGTTCTGTAGTGAGCTGGAAGGCAACTCTGCAGTCGGCGGTGACACTGTCTACTACTGAGGCAGAGTGTATGGCGTTGATAGAAGCTGCTAAGGAGGGAATATGGTTGAAGGGACTGGTTGGTGATTTGGGTCTACATCATGATCAGGCAGTGGTGTATTGCGACAGTTTGAGTGCAATATGCTTGGCCAAGGATCAAGTCCATCATGAGAGGACTAAGCACATCGACGTGAGGTATCATTTCTTGAGGACAAAGAAGAGTATTAAGGTGAAGAAGGTTGGCACCGCAGATAATCCTGCTGATATGTTCACGAAGCCGGTTCCACATGGCAAGTTCCAACACTGCTTGGACTTGCTGAATGTCTTGAGTGGGTGACTCCGCCCTGCGGGGCATTGATGGCGGGGGAGAGATAGAAGGAGCAGAGTACATCATAGATTTCAGAGGAAGAGGATTCAAGTCAAGGTGGAGATTTGTTGATGTGACTTGAATCGGACTATCAGCCGCTACGACTGGTAATCGGGGGTCCCACATGGAGAAGTACTATAAATACTTCTCATACTCCTCTGTAATCTATAATCTCCTCGATATAGTGAAACTGACTCTCTCTCGCCCGTGGACGTAGCTAACACACATCGTGTTAGTGAACCACGTAAATCGTGTGTCATGTTTTCGATTCTCGCTTTCGTATTCTTGCTTTGTCGATTCCAGCGATTTCCCGATTCGTAGCAGCGCGTTTATAACAGATTTTGTAAATATGAGGTTCACAGAGAAAGCTGGTGGCAGACCCTTATTGAGGTGAAATACTCAGAAGATCGCTCCCTTTGGCATACCAACCGAAGGAAAGAAGGCTTCTTGACATCGGTTTGGGCTAATATTTCTAAAGTTCATCATGATTTGATTTCTAGAGGATGGCCTACCTCGATTTGGGAGGAGTTGCGTGAGTTTCTTTTTGGTTTGGTAGATGGATTCCTGGGGTTGTGCTAGCTGGCTCTTTGCCACGCGTTGTTGCTGCCGTTCCCAATCCCGAAGCATGCATGGATCTCCGACATCGCAAACACCTCAGGTCAGAGTATTTCCTAGCTTGAATATCGAGATCAAGATAAATAATTTGCAATCATCCCCATAACATTTTCAAAGGAAAAAAAAATCCATCCTCCTCAACTGCCAAGTAACAAAAACGTTCAAAAAAAAAAACATCGATCGTTTAATAACGTATAGAGAGATTTCAATGAGATTAAATTACGAATCTAGTTTATTAGCAACTGCGAGTATCGCTTTCGATGCCTCGACCATGGCGTCATTGACATCCATCACCCACAACCTGCCCCTCCCACTCGCGATATTCAACGCCTTGTCGCACGCGCCGAAATTCCCCACGGCCGCACTAAGCACGGAGGTCAGCTTCGCGACCGTCTCCTTGGGGCACTCCTTGGGGCCCGCGGTCCTGTCGTCCCTGACGCACACCCCGATGGCCGCCATGGCCTCGTCGAGGCTCTTGGAGGCCGTGTCGTAGTCGTCGAGGCAGGCGTCGAGGCCCTTCTTGGTGTCGGAGTTGGCGGAAGGGTCCTTGGACCCTTCCCTGATGGCGATGTAGGACCCTTCGTTGATGAGGGTCTTGAGGACCTTGAGGTCGGCCTTGATGACGAAGGCAGGGTCCGACCTTGGCGTGTTCCCCAAGAAATCGAGGCACTCGTTGGCGTCGTCGGTCATGGCGCAGAGGTCCCTGATGGTCTGGTTGTTCTTCACGGACTCCTCCGTCGCCTTGGGGTCGTACTTCGGGGTGATGAAGAAGGCGACGGAGGTGAACGTGAAGGAGTCGTGCGACGCGGCCTGCAGCCATTCTGGGGCCCCGGGGGACGGGGATTCGTCGGTGGCGTACGTGGGGAAAATGATGGAGGAGAACAGCAAGGTGGTGGTGATTGTTGTTGCTGCGAGAAGTGCTAGCTTGGGGAGCTTGAGCTGGTCCATTTGTTACTGTTTTTTTTTTTTTGGCTAGCAATATTTTGCTTAACGGAAAAAGGGAAGAGAATGGAGTTTGTGCCTTTGTATATTGCATTGTGACGAAGATTGATAAATATGGTATTAGATTGTTACTACTGCACGTGCATCTCTTTTGACCGTTCGTCGACCACTCTCCGTCTTACTTGTACTCGAAATTTTCGGCTGATAAATTTTTGTCTTGTTCTTTCTTTTACTTTTGTTGATGCGTCCGGGTCTTCGGCTTCTCATGATCTCAAAGAGATGGGTATGTTGATAGTTACATTCGTCATTTTGGGTATCTGAATATAGATTATGTTTTGCTATCTTTATTTGGGATACTGATGGTGTAAGTCTAGGCATTTTTTTGTTTTTTCAATAAAATCCTGTCGGATTTTAAACGTTAAAGGCAGGGGAGGCTAAAAAAAAAGCATTCTCGCCTGCCGACTCAAAGACAAACCAAATAGGAGGAATTAAGTAGCGTAGGATGTAGAGCAGGATAGCGTAGGGTTTGTTGCGCCACACAATGGCCAGCCCGATTCGCATCTCGAGGTGTGAAAAGTCAAGAGACCTTTGGTAAGTGAAGAAGCAACCCTTGAACCTACCTAAGAATGGCCCCACCACGGACGTCATTAGTGACCCCTGCACACAATTTGTCCACTACCGCCTTAGCATCCCCTGTAAGAAGCACATCCCGATCAAACCAGTGCCACCGGTGAATTAAGTATAACACCTCGCGGAAAGCCAGCAGCTCTACCAAACCAGGGTCGGAGATGCCCGAAATGAAAGCACCACAAGCAAACCTAGGGGTATCACCATGATAGCCAACCAACCCTATTGCACCTGCCGTGGGAGATCGAGTCGCACCTTCCACTGCAATTCGAACGCCACTGTGCCTACGGAGGACGTCTTCATGCTGGAGTCGATTCGTAGGAGGGAGTAACAGATGTGGAGCAAGCACGTCCGCCATTGAGTTATTGTTGGAATCTTGATGATGAACGAACTGGCGACGGAGAACTGGGATGATGAATTGAGCGTAGGGGGAGAAAACAACATTGTTTCGCCCCTTCCAAAGATGCCAGCAAAGCAAAATCCAATTGGTAATGGTATCAGGTTGGCCGTGTAGAAGCATAAGGCGCCAAAAGAGGGCAAAATGAAAACTAGGGTCGAACCCAGGGGGAAGAGAGAGACCCACAGCGTCACGTAATTGAACTGCCACCGGACAACGAATAAACAAATGCTCCAAAGACTCTCCCTCGTCATATTCACATATGGGGCAAATGTTGTGAAGAACAAGGCCATGGTTCTCTAGATCCTCACGGACTGGTAGGATTCGTAACAGAATGCGCCAGAGGAAAAATTTTAACTTCGGCATAAGAGGTAAAGACCACACCTTTGGCCACAAGGCCGGGTCAAGAGGAGAAACGGAGGCAACCTGATAGACCGTCATTTACACATGTTTTTACCCTCATACTTGCACCGTTTGAGGTGTTGATCCTCGTGTTTTAGGCCGATTTCACGCTAGGTTGTGCTTGTTTGTGATATTTCAGGTCCTAGTACATGAATGAAGGCTTAGGAGCGAGTCTGGGGTCGATTGGACGAAGAACGGACGAGTGGCGAGGTTTTTGGGAGCTGCACGGGCAGACCAGGGAGGCTGCACGGCCGTGCACGGTTGCAAGTTGGCCATGCGCCTTATGCCGAGGATGTGCCCGGCCAGACCATGGAGACGCACGGCCGTGCAAAGTGCAATTATGTCCGTGCGCCTCTGGCCGAGGACATGCACGGGCTGGCCGGGATCCCTGCATGGCCGTGCACCTGGCCGTGCAAGAAGCCTGATGCTGACTAAATGATACGGCGCGTTTTGACTCGCACGACCAGAATGGTGATGTGCACGGCCGTGCACCCTGGCCGTGCAAGTCGGGAAACCCTGTTTTAGAGCCTATTCCGAGCCAGAAGGGGGAGAATCGTGTTTTCAGAGCAAAAACAGAGCCCTAGAGAGAGAAAGTGCGAAGAACACATCCTAGAAGCTGTCTTAGAGCTGGATTTCATCGAATCGAGCCTGGAGATCGTTATAGGAGTGAAAATCATCGTCCCGGAGCAGATTATCCTCATCGTTATGAGTATGACTAATCCGATTCTTGTTGTCTCTTCTTTCTCTATGGAGTAGAACCCTTCTCTCACTTGGGTATGAAGAACCCTAGTTCCTTGTGTTAGGGATTTGATTGTAATGACTTGGGATGATATTACTGTTTGATTTTAATCGAATGACACATGTTAAATGAATTGATTTGAGTCTGATCAGCTTGTCTCAATTTCTGCTTCAACCTGAGATAGATAGAATATGATTAGGTTGTTAGAGCCTCTTCATTCGATAGTAGGAGATTGGCTATACGAGAGTTAGCCAGTTTACTTCTTTGTACTGGTGTTCTTGACGCCAGTAGTGGAGTTCTGTGTTCATAGCCTCAGCTTTCTATCCCGGTGAAGACTAGTCGTCTGCCGGGTAGTTAGACTGAGAGGGCTTGGTCAGCTTAAGAGATTCCAAGCTACTGTCGGATCTTCCGCAGTCTAATCAACAGTAAATCAACCCAGGGAATTGCAATTGAACCTAACTAAGGGGCTAGGGGGACTCAATCCCGAGTGACTCTTGCCTGCTTTAGAAACCCGAACAAGTTACTGCTTTCTTGTTGCTTTTAATTTTCACAACAATCACTCGAACTAGTTTGCTAGATAATAGAGAATCACGGAGTAAGCAGTAGATCTAGACCCCGGGCTGATAATTAAACTTGCCTATACTGCAGTCCCTTTCATTGGTTACACTTGGTCATTGTTTGGTGTAAGCGAGCAGGGGGGGGCCAAGGTGGATCCGCTCTTGAAGGCACCTGATCCCACACTTCCCTGAGCATCCATACTGGCGTCCAGCTAAAAGACGGTAAAGAAGCGCTTGTGGGGAGGCAACCCCACTGAGGTTTGCATTTTCTTACTCTTTTTCCTTTGATTTTGTGTGTTTTTGAGTCTTGAGACATTGATCCAGAGTTACGTGTCGTTTTTGAGCTAAAACAGGTTGATTTCGGGACCCCAGCAAGTCGCACGGCCAGAACCTAGACTTGCACGGCCGTGCGGGTACCCCCCCTTGGCCGTGCGAGCTCTCGGCCAAAAGCGCACGGCCAAAAGTGCACAATGCACGGCCGTGCGCTCAGCCTGGCTTGGCCGTGCGCCTTGCACGGGCATGGCATTGTCTTGCACGGCCGTGCGCTATGCCTGGCCTGGCCGTGCGAGCTCTCGGCCAGGAGTGCACGGCCCAAAGCGACTGGTGCACGGCCGTGCGCCTCGGCTCGGCCAGGCCGTGTCGGCTGCACGGGCAAAAACCAGACTTGCACGGCCGTGCGCCTCTGCCCGTGCAGCCGAGGCACGGGCTATATAAATGGCCGTGCACGGCCATAGTGGTCAGAAAACCAAAAACTCTCGCCGGAAACCTCTCCCCTCGCCGGAAAACCGCGCAAAACCCACCCTATTTCGATTTTTTCGGCCACTTTGGGTAATTTTTTCACCAAACCACCAACAAACCCACTCTTTCTACACCCAAAGAGGCCTATCCCTCGAGTTTGAGCGAGTTTGGGCGACGTCTTTGTCGCCGGAGGCGATTTCCGGCGAGAATCCGGCGAGGCTCCGACGAGCAATTCCGGCCAGTTTTTCGGCGTTTCGTCGATTCCATTGTCTTCCCCTCATCATCCCCTACACCTCTACTTGAGTCTCCAGGTTTGATTTTGTCCCTAACTATGTGAATTTTGGAGAATTGAGTGTGTAGGGTGTATGTTAGAGAACCTTATTGAATCATGCGATTTGTGTGAAATTGATTGAGGGGAATGCATGGGATGTGATTGAATTATGTTGGGCAAAGTCCCATTTGCTTGTTTGAGCCCTTGTGTGCAAGAATTTGGCCAATTTCATGTTTAACTTAATAGTGCACACAAGGTGTTCGATGAAATGCCTGTTTTCCTTGCCATGTTGTGGCCACCGGTTGGGGCCCTTAATGATGTAGTTTGAGAGTGTATTTGATATGGATGTGAACCTTGAGTTGCCTACTTTCTTGTGAATGTGCACCCCCACCCAGATTATAGTTTTTGACCCCCGAACTATGGATGAAACCATGGTTCGGCTGCTTTCTGTTCTTAAGTGTGGGGGTGGGCTTGACCTTTTCTTTGGCTCTTTTGGTTCCACGTTGGGTTGTTGTTTTGCAGGGCAATGGCAAAACCTAATTTCCAGCACCCGTTCATCCGGGATCTCAGGAGGGGCCCCACCGCAGAGCGCTTCAAGGCGGTCGTGGAAACCCCGTTTGGCGCCCACCATTGCTGGTCCAAACGGGAGTTTCGGCAACTGCACTGCTACGAGCAGCTTTCCGCCGTGGTCGCCAACACCGCATGGCGCCGTCTGCTCCAGATCTGCGAGAAGGTCTACTACGAGCCGGTGTGGGAGTTCTACACGACTTTCAAGCACAATTCCACGACCATATGCCATGACAGTACAGCCGTCCAATTCAGGCTGGGCGGTGTCCCCCGATCCTTGAGCTACCACGAGCTGGCTGAGGCTCTCGACCTCGACGACAGTGCGGACTACGTCACCGAGGTTACTGACCCACCGGAGGTGGACTTCAGGAGGCTATACACCAGCCTGGCTCAGCCTGGCCAGACGCATCCTTTCAAGTCTGGGAGGACGAAGGCATCTACCCTGCAGATCGAGTACCGACTTCTCCACCACCTGCTGGCGAAGTCTTACACTCCTGCATCTGACAGCCGGCGCCATCACGAAGAGGCCCTTGTACTTCCTCCATTCGATCCGCCAGCGCCGCCATCCTCTCCACCTGGGTTCGGTGGTGGCCAAGACATTCGAGAAGACGGCCACAGAGCTGAAGAGCCTCCACTGCGCCCCCCTCATCACCCGCCTGGTCACCTTCTTTGGCCTTTCACTGCAGGGGTGCACCGAGGAGGGGGACA